TTTGAGGATTTCTTAAATGTTGATGAAGATAGGGAAGCTGTGATATCGTGTATAGGGCAAGGAGGAATAACGTCTTGTAGGTGTGAGGAAGAGCCAGTTGTGAGTTTGGGGGAAGTTCGTGAGGCAGTGGGGAGAATGAAAGGGGGTAAGGCAGCTGGGATTGATGGGATAAAGATAGAAATGTTAAAAGCAGGTGGGGATATAGTTTTGGAGTGGTTGGTGCTATTTTTTAATAGGTGTATGAAAGAGAGTAAGGTACCTAGGAATTGGCAGAGAGCATGTATAGTTCCATTGTATAAGGGCAAAGGAGGATAGGGGGATAAGTCAGTTGAGTATACCTGGTAAAGTGTATGGTAGAGTTATTATTGAAAGAATTAAGAGTAAGTCGGAGAATAGGATAGCAGATGAACAAGGAGGCTTTAGGAAAGGTAGGGGGTATGTGGACAAGGTGTTTACAGTGAAACATATAAGTGAAGAGTATTTAGATAAGGCTAAAGAGGTTTTTGTGGCATTTATGGATTTGGAAAAGGCGTATGACAGGGTGGATAGGGGGGCAATGTGGCAGATGTTGCAGGTGTATGGTATAGGAGGTAGGTTATTGAAAGCAGTGAAGAGTTTTTACGAGGATAGTGAGGCTCAAGTTAGAGTATGTAGGAAAGAGGGAAATTATTTCCCAGTAAAAGTAGGCCTTAGAGATGGATGTGTGATGTCACCGTGGTTGTTTAATATATTTATAGATGGGGTAGTAAGAGAAGTAAATGCGAGGGTCCTGGCATGAGGCGTGGAGTTAAAAGATTAAGAATCACACATAAAGAGGGAGTTGTCACAGTTGCTCTTTGCTGATGACACTGTGCTCTTGGGAGATTCTGAAGATAAGTTGCAGAGGTTGGTGCATGAATTTGGTAGGGTATGTAAAAGAAGAAAATTAAAATTGAATACAGGAAAGACTAAGGTTATGAGGTGAGTTATGGGTGAGTATCCTGCATGACTCACCATGCATGGTGGGTGAGTGTCCTGCATGACTCACCCCACATGGTGGGTGAGTGTCCTGCACGAAAGATTGGATATCAGATTGGAGGGAGAGAGTATGGAGGAGGTGAATGTATTCAGATATTTTTGAGTGGACGTGTCAGCAGATGGGTCTATGAAAGATGAATCATAGAATTGATGAGGGGAAAAGGGTGAGTGGTGCACTTAGGAGTCTGTGGAGACAAAGAACATTGTCCGTGGAGGCAAAGAGGGGAATGTATGAGAGTATAGTTTTACCAACGCTCTTATATGGGTGTGAAGCATGGGTGATGAATGTTGCAGCGAGGCGAAGGCTGGAGGCAGTGGAGATGTCATGTCTGAGGGCAATGTGTGGTGTGAATATAATGCAGAGAATTCGTAGTTTGGAAGTTAGGAGGAGGTGCGGGATTGCCAAAACTGTTGTCCAGAGGGCTGAGAAGGGTTGTTGAGGTGGTTCGGACATGTAGAGAGAATGGAGCGAAACAGAGTGACTTCAAGAGTGTATCAGTCTGTAGTGGAAGGAAGGCGGGGTAGGGGTCGGCCTAGGAAAGGTTGGAGGGGGGGGGTAAAGGAGGTTTTGTGTGCGAGGGGCTTGGACTTCCAGCAGGCATGCGTGAGCGTGTTTGCTAGGAGTGAATGAGACAAATGTTTTTTAATACTTGACGTGCTGTTGGAGTGTGAGCAAAGTAACATTTATGAAGGGGTTCAGGGAAACCGCAGGCCGGACTGAGTCCTGGAGATGGGAAGTACAGTGCCTGCACTCTGAAGGAGGGGTGTTAATGTTGCAGTTTAGAAACTGTAGTGTAAAACACCCTTCTGGCAAGACAGTGATGGAGTGAATGTGGTGAAAGTTTTTTTTTTTTCGGGCCACCCTGCCTTGGTGGGAATCGGCCAGTGTGATAATAATATATATATATATAAAATATATAATATATATATAATATATATTATATATATATATATATATATATATATATATATATATATATATATATATATAAGAACATAAGAACATAAGAAAGGAGGAACACTGCAGCAGGCCTGTTGGCCCATACTAGGCAGGTCCTTTACAATTCATCCCACTAACAAACATTTGACCAACCCAATTTTCAATGCCACCCAAGAAACAAGCTCCGATGTGCAAGTCCCACTCAAATCCAACCCCTCCCACTCATGTACTTATCCAACCTAAATTTGAAACTACCCAAAGTCCCAGCCTCAATAACCCAACTAGGTAGACTGTTCCACTCATCAACTACCCTATTTCCAAACCAATACTTTCCTATGTCCTTTCTAAATCTAAACTTATCTAATTTAAATCCATTACTGCGGTTCTCTCTTGGAGAGATATCTTCAAGACTTGTTAATATCCCCTTATTAATACCTATCTTCCACTTATACACTTCGATCAGGTCTCCCTCATTCTTCGTCTAACAAGTGAATGTAACTTAAGAGTCTTCAATCTTTCTTCATAAGGAAGATTTCTGATGCTATTGTATTAATTTAGTCAATCCTACGCTGAATTTTTTTCTAACGAATTTATGTCCATTCTGTAATATGAGACCAGAACTGAGCTGCATAATCTAGGTGAGGCCTTACTAATGATGTATAAAGCTGCAGTATGACCTCTGGACTTCTGTTGCTTACACTTCTTGATATAAATCCCAGTAATCTATTTGCCTTATTACGTACGCTTAGGCATTGCTGTCTTGGTTTAAGGTTGCTGCTCACCATAAGCCCCAAGTCCTTTTCGCAATCTGTATGGCTAAGTTCTACATCATTTAACTTATAAGTACTAGGGTTATGGACACTCCCGAGCTTCAGAACCTTGCATTTATATATACTGAACTGCATCTGCCACTTTTCTGACCAAGAGTAGAGTTTGTCTAAATCCTCCTGAAGTTCCCTAACATCTACGTTTGAATCAATTATCCTACCTATCTTAAATAATATATATATATAATATATATTATATAATATATATATATATATATATATATATATATATATATAATATATATATATAATATATAATATAATAAATTCACAGTAAACAGGTGATATCACAATCTGCAGAACAACCACATTGAAAAAATAGTGAAATTCCAAGTACTTTCGTGACTCCTCACATTATCAAGGAACTATAAAAGTAAAACATCAACAGAAAGGCATATAAGGGCAAAACTAACTCACAACATCCGACTCTGTGAAACACATGATACTCTACCCAAGCATTAAGATTTTTTCTTTATCTAATGTATCATTAGATTCTTCCCAAATTTTATTAATTATAAATAAATCAAATTTTTATAAACCAAAAGAAATATTCATATTATTTTTAAAGCTGCTTTTTATGAAACATGATTCCATTATATTCCTGTCGACCATGGACTTACTTGATGCAACTTTATCAGTCTTGAAAATCAATTGGATGATTAAAATCTCTCACATAAATAAACAGAGCATTAGAATCTTGTCCAATTCTAATGTTATATTTATACTGTTTTAATTTCAGTTCAAGACTTTTACCAGTTTGACCGTAATAAACTTCATCGCATATTTTACATGGAATTATAGACACACCTGTCAGCATTTTGGTGGGGGGGAATTTTTTATCAAAAGTGTTTTAACTGTATCAATATTTTTAAATACAACTTTGATATTAAAAGTCTTAAGAAGAGAAGGCATATCAACTAAGTTATCATAGTAACGGAGAACCAACATATTTTTAGTTGAATAAGGTTGGTTGTCCCTTTTTAAATTGTAATAAGTATTTCTGACAATTTTAAAGGATTTATCCATTAAGTTTAATAACTTTAATGATGGTAGGAACAGGCAATGGTAAATCGTAATTAATAAGTTCTTCATATAACAAACTTAGTAAATCATCAACTGGAACTTTTGTAAACAAAAGTTAAGTATCTAACTTTAATGTTAAAAACAACATAGATTTAGGGGATTAATTAAGCACCTTGACTCACTTAAAAGACTTCAGTATGTGTAGTTTTGATGTTATTTCCTTGTTTACAAAAGTTCCAGTTGATAATTTATTAAGTTTCGTATCTGAAGGGGTTTTTCTAGTGCCAGGGAGGAAAAAAGAGTAGCAAGAAATAATAATAATCCTTCACCAACTGACAACACTTCTGGAGCAGAGGCACAGTCATTGGCCTCCTCTCCAGAACAACAGATATTAAAGCCAACAAATAAAACCCCCCTAAATTCCATTAATATAACAACATTTGTCTTTGCAAACATACAGGGTCTAAAGCCGTCAACAAACAATAAAATTCCTTACGTCAAGGGAATCCTTACAGAGTCAAATGCAGTGTTTGCATTTTTCACAAAGACCCACATAAAGGACCATTTTGACAACGAAATATGGATCCCAGGTTATAACCTATTCAAATGCGACAGACTAAACAGACAACAAGGGGAGGGATGGGGGGGTTGGCCTGTACGTCACAAAGTCGCTCATTTGCTCAGAACTACTAACACCTCAAATGATGTACGTAGTTGAAGTTTTGGCAGTAAAGATTGAAAACCTTGTCATTGTGGTGGTATACAAGCCTCCGGATGCATCTTCCCAGCAGTTCCAGGAACACCTTTTAAAAATTGACCACTGTCTGGAAAATCTTCCAACTTCTGCCCCAAACATCTTGCTACTGGGAGATTTCAACTTGATACACCTAAAATGGAGGTGCGTAGCAAAAAAATATTTTAGCAGCGATCACCCCAGGAGGCAACTTAGAAAAAGACACCGGTTAAGATATAGCTTACGCAAAATATCTTTTCAATGGTTCAGAAATATGAACAGGATGTGCAAGTGGATTTTATTTAGTGAGCGTTATCTTAACGAGAGTTAATTAGCAAATAAGTCAATAGAATTATAAACAGATCTGATCTTTCCATCATAAAATTTCTTTAGTAACAAATCGTGAGAATCTGTACCTCACCAACAAACCAATACTGAACTTTCCACTGCGGGAAGAGGCAGGAGAGAGGCCCAACTATCCACTGCGGGAAGAGGCAGGAGAGAGGCCCAACTATCCACTGCAGGAAGAGGCAGGAGAGAGGCCGAACTATCCATTGCAGGAAGAGGCAGGAGAGAGGCCGAACTATTCATTGCGGGAAGAGGCAGGAGATGGGTTCCGGGAAATGCGACTCCTTAGAGTAAGGGAGCCTTGTGGATACTTATCTTTCCGTCTCATCTTCCAGACACACGCCCCTACCACCAGCACCGCCATCACCAGCAGCAGCACTAGCACCAGCAGCACCCAGGTGGAGGCAAAATATGCATTTGAGGTTTCTGAGACGTTATCCAGGTATGTCAACGTCTGCCTCCAGAGGTTCCGCTCCTGAGAAAAGTGATACAATTAGAAAAAATAGCCTCTGTTTACCATTTTTCTGACCTTGTTTTACTGATATACATAGAAAATACTCTTCTCGCTACCAACTCTCTCCTCAGCTTTCTTACTATGTTACCATTCACCATGATAGCAGCCCTCTCATCATGGTAGCAGCCCTCTCATCATGGTAGCAGCCCTCTCACCATGCTAGCAGTGCTCTCACCATGCTAGCAGCCTTCTCACCATGCTCGCACCCCTCTCACCATGCTAGCACCCCTCTCACCATGCTAGCACCCCTCTCACCATGCTAGTACCCCTCTCACCATGCTAGTACTCCTCTCACCATGCTAGAACCCCTCTCACTACTCTCACCATATTACCATTCACCATACTATGACCCCTCTCACCACTCTCACCATGCTACCATTCACCATGCTAGCACCCTCTCTCACCATGCAAGCACCCCTCTCGCCATGCTAACACCCCTCTCACAATGCTAGTATCTCTTTCACCAGGCTAGCACCCCTCTCACATTGCTAGCCCTCCTCTCACCATGCTAGAACCCCTCTCACCATGCTAGTACCCCTCTCACATTGCTCGCCCCCCTTCACCATGCTAGAACAATTCTCACCATGCTGGTATTCCTCTCACGATGTCAGCACTCCTCTCACAATTTTAGCATCCCTCTAACCATGTTAGCACCGATATCACAATGCTAGCACCCCTCTCACCATGCTAGAACCCCTCTTACTATGCTAGCATCCCTCTCACCATGCAAGCAACCCTTTCATAATGCTAGCACCCTTATCACAATACTACCACCACTCCCTTACACCTCTCACTATGCTACCACCACTCCCCTACACCTTTCACAATGCTACCACCACTCCCCTACACCTCTCATAATGCTACCCACACTCCCCTACACCTCTCACTATGCTACCACCACTCCCCTACACCTCTCATAATGCTACCACCACTCCCTTACACCTCTCACTATGCTACCACCACTCCCTTACACCTTTCACAATGCTACCACCACTCCCCTACACCTCTCATAATGCTACCACTACTCCCCTACACCTTTCACAATGCTACCACCACTCCCCTACACCTCTCACAATGCTACCACCACTCCCCTACAACTCTCATAATGCTACCACTACTCCCCTACACCTTTCACAATGCTACCACCACTCCCCCTACACCTCTCACAATGCTTCCACCACTCCCCTACACCTCTCACAATGCTACCACCACTCCCCTACACCTCTCATAATGCTACCACCACTCCCCTACACCTTTCACTATGCTACCACCACTCCCCTACACCTCTCATAATGCTACCACCACTCCCCTGCACCTCTCAAATGCTACCACCACTCCCCTACACCTCTCATAATGCTACCACCACTCCCCTACACCTTTCACAATGCTACCACCATTCCCCTACACCTCTCACAATGCTACCACCACTCCCCTACACCTCTCATAATGCTACCACCACTCCCCTACACCTTTCACAATGCTACTACCATTCCCCTACACCTTTCACAATGTTACCACCGCTCCCCTACACGTCTCACAATGCTACCACCACTCCCCTACACGTCTCACAATGCTACCACCACTTACCTACACCTCTCACAATGCTACTACCACTCCCCTACACCTTTCACAATGCTACTACCACTCCACTACACCTTTCACAATGTTACTACTGCTCCCCTACACCTCTCAAAATGCTACCACCACTCCCCTACACGTCTCACAATGCTACCACCCTCCCCTACACGTTTCACAATGCAACCACCACTTACCTACACCTCTCACAATGCTACTACCACTCCCCTACACCTTTCGCAATGCTACTACCACTCCCCTATACCTTTCACAATGCTACTACCACTCCCCTACACCTTTCGCAATGCTACCACCACTCCCCTACACCTTTCACAATGCTACTACCACTCCCCTACACCTCTCACAATGCTACCACCACTCCCCTACACCTCTCATAATGCTACCACAACTCCCCTACACCTTTCACAATGCTACCACTATTCCCCTACAACCTTTCACAATGCTACTACCACCTCCCCTACAACTCTCAAAATGCTACCACCACTCCCCTACACTACTCACTGTGCTACCACCACTCCCCTTCACCTCTCCCTATGCTACCACCACTCCCCTACACCTCTCACTATGCTACCACCACTCCCCTACAACTTTCACAATGCTACCACCACTCCTCTACACCTCTCACTATGTTACCACCACTCCCCTACACTTCTCACAAAAGCTACCCCCACCCCCCCTACATTTCTCACTATGAAAACCACCACTTCCCACCCCTCTCTATGCTACCACCACTCCCCAACACCTCTCACTATTTTACCACCACCCCCCTACACCTCTCACTATGATACCACCATTCACGGAGAGACAACACAGTAAGTGTCAAGGGCCGAAGACTGTTCAGCTGCCTCCCAGGATACATAAGGGGGATTACCAATAGACCCCTCACTGTCTCAAGAAGGCACGGGAAAGGCACCTAAATCGTCCCTAAACCCGCTGATGTATTCGTATCATTTGCCTGCAACCAACAGTAAGCCCCGTTGATAAAGGGCCTGACCACATGGGGGCCTAGTCACATACCGACCGGGGGGGCTTTTGACCACCAAAACCCTCCCAGGTATACTCCAGGAATACTCCAGGATACTCCATATTCTCCGGGTATATCCAGGTATACCCAGGTAACTCCGGGTAACTCCGGTATTCCCAGGATCCCCAGTATACTCCAGTACTCCAGTAACTCCATGTATACCCCATTTTAACTCCAGGTATACTCCGGGTATACTCCAGTATTCTCCGGGTAATCCAGTATACCCGGGTATACTCCGGGTTTTCTCCTTGGTAACGGGATTCTCTCATTTTTGGGCTCTTCCTCTACCTTTTTTTTTCTCACTAAATATTTCTTCCTTTTTATTCTCTTTTATTTTTTTTAAAATTTTGCAACTGTTTATAATTTTAGACACTTTTTTTCTACTCCCCACATGCAGTATGAGGGTTTCATGTCGTATGATGGTTCATGTCATATAGGTTCATGCAGTATGATGGTTCATGCAGTATGATGTTCATGCAGTATGAGGTTCTTTCAGATAGGGTTCAGTCAGTAAAAGGGTTCATGTAGATACGTTCTGTCAGTATGAGGTTCAGTCATAGGGGTTTAGTCAGTATGATGGTTCATGTCAGTACGTGTTCGTCTATGAGGGTTCATGTCATAGAGGGTTTCATGTCAGATGATGGTTCAGTAAGTATGATGGTTCATGTCATATGATGTTCTGTCGAATGAGGGTTCAGTCAGTATGATTTTCAGCAGTATTTGGTTCATGTCAGTATGAGGGTTCATGTCACATGAGGGGTTCATGTCAATGATTTTTCATTCAGTATGATGGTTTTTCATGTCAGAATATGTCATGTCATATGAGTTTCATGCATATTGGTTCATGTCAGTATTATGGTTCATGTCAAGAGGTTCATGTCAATATGATGGGTCATGTCATATATGGTTCATGTCAGTAATAGTTCAGTCAGTATTTGGTTCATGTCATATGAGGGTTCATGTCATAGAGGGGTTCTGTCAGTAGTGGTTCTTCAGAAATGATGGTTCGTGCCAGGATATGGTTCATTCAGTAATGGTTTCATGTCATAGATGTTCATGTCAAAAGATGTTCAGTCAGATGTGGTTTATGTCATATGAGGTTCATGTCAGTAGATGGTTCATGTCAGTATGATGGTTCATGTCAGTAGAGGGTTCATTCACATGAGGGTTCATGTCAGTATGATGGTTCATGTCATATTTTGGGTTAATGTCAGCATGAGGTTCTTTCAGCAGGTTTGCTCAGTCAGTATGATGGTTCATGTCATATAGGGTTCATTCAGAAAAAGTTCAGTGATGATGGTTCATGTCAATTTTGGGTTCATGTCAGTAGATGGTTCATGTCAATGATGGTCATGTCAATATGAGGGGCATTAAAATATGTTCATGTCATAAGGGTTCATTCAAAATGATTCAATCGTATGAGGGTTTCATGGTAGATGGCATGTCATAGAGGGGTTCATTCATATGAATTTCAGTCAGTATTTGTTCAGTCATATGTTGGTTCATGTCAGTATGAGGGGTTCATGTCAAGGGGTTCATGTTAGTATGATGGTTCGGGCAGTATGAGGGTTTTCAGCAGTATGATGGTTTCAGCAGATGTTTTTCAGTCAGTAGAGTTCATGTCAGTATGAGGTTCATGTCATATGATGTTCATGTCAGTATGATGGTTCATTCAGAATGATGGTTTTCAGTAAATATATGGTCATGTCATATGATGGTTAAAGCAGTATATGTTCTGTCAAGATGATTCAGGTCAGAGATGTTCATGCCCGAAAAGGGGTTCTTTCAGTAGATGTTCAGTCAAATGAGGGTCATGTCATATGATGGTTAATGTCAATGAAAATTCATGTCGATTTTGGGTTCATGTCATATGATTTTCATGTCATATGATGGTTCATTCATAAATGATGGTTCATGCAGTATGATGGTTCGTGCCAGTATGATGTTCATGTCATATAAAGGTTCATGTCATAGAGGGTTCATGTCCTATGAGGTTCATGTCATATGATGGCTTATGTCATAGAGGGTTTCATGTCATAGAGGGTTCATGTCATATAGGGTTTTCATGCGAAATGGGGGTTCTGTCAGCATGATTTCATGTCAGTATAAAGGGTTCATGTCAGTATTTTGGTTATGTCAGTATGATGGTTCATGTCAGCATGAGGTTCTTTCATATGATGGTTCATGTCAGAAAGAGGGTTCGTCAGAATGATGGTTCATGTCATATGATGTTCATGCAGTATTGGTCATGTCAGTATAGGGTTCAGTCATATGATGGTTCATGTCAATAGGTGGGTCTGTCGTATGATGGTTCATATCAGTATGAGGGTTCTGTCATAGA